AGGTCTTTGAAGCCCAGCACGCCCAGATTGCGTCACGCTGTCTCCTCTCGGCTTGGTCGCGGCTCATGGCCCAAGCCTCCGTCGTGAGGGGCGCGACGTGCACTAGCGCAGGGGCTGTCTCTTTCCCCCGCCCTCCCTTTCCTCGTCGTCGTCGCCGTCGTCGTCCTCCTCCTCGCCCATCTCAGTCCTCCCCCCCCTCCTCGTTCGCCTCCACTCTCGCGCCCCCCGTTCCTCTCCCCGGGCCACGGACGGCCGCTGTCGCGGTGGGCCCGCGCAGGCGCACGGAGGAGCGCTCTTGACGCTCCGCGTGCTCCCGCCAGTCCGTCGAGGAAGGATGCCCAGGCGCGTTGGCTGGATCAGGGGAGTGCTCGAGCGAACAGTGGGACAAATATTGGTCGGGGGCGGAAAAGAGGGGGGTGATGACTAGGGGGGGGTGGATATCATGGCGGGGACCATGATATTTCCCCAGATTTCATGGTGCCTCTTCTTGTTTTATTACGTCCCTGGCCCCCCCGCTGGGCCGCGCACATGCCGCCGGTCATGATTTGCACCCCCCCTCTTGGACCCCCCCCTCTTGGCCGCTCCCGAAAATACTGGGGGTGTGGGCAACCGAGCAGCCGAAGGTCGGGATCGGCCCGAGCGGACACAGGATTCGGCCACGAGGGCCTTCGCGGATGATCTTTCGATGCGGGACTTCATCGGAAGCTCGCTTGGATTACCTCGGGGTCCTCCCAGGGCCATTTCGGAGGCCTTTGGGGCTTTTTCTTGCGGCCCTCCCTCTTGGGGGCCCTCCTGGGCCGATCCTGGACGCATTCATAAAAAGAAGGATACTCGATTAGCATTGCGCCGTCGGAGCCAGAACGAAACCTCTTGAGGCGATTTCATCTCGAGACCTTAGAAGACCATCGGACGCGAAACTGCGAGACAGCCAAAAGCAATGAACAATACCATTGATAGAGTTTGGCACCTCAGGGGTTCTCACTGGGGGTCTGAGGCCACCTGAAGCAGTCTCTGGGTCGTCGTGGCGACTCATGCAAACAATTGGGAGGCCATCTTGAGCCAACGTGGGCCATATTGGAGGCCACCTTGTGTCGTATTGGGCCACTTTGGAGCCATATTGACATAAAAGCTTCCTCGAGAGGCCGAACCCACTCGACAACTGCACGCGTTTGATAATTAGTGTAGCTTCGAGCGACGGCGCGACAGTCATTCGGATCCCCCCGCAAGAACCCAGACACCCGCCTCCCGCAGCTCTCTTAGGGTGTTCTTGGGCATTCTTGCGGCCGAATGCGGAACATGTATGTTGGCCCCTCTCGGGGCTATCTTGGGCGATCTTGGAGCCATCTAGAGGCCTCGGAGGTCAATCGGGAGCGACGTGCGCGAAGACCAACATCATTGAGAACAATCAGGAGGAAAAGAAACACACAGACACAATTCATCTTCGATTCCTAGGAAAATGCGCGAAAACATGGGAAGTGGGGGGGGGAAGACAGAAGCCCAGAAAATATGGGAAGATGTGGGGAATGATTTTAGTTGTGTGTATTTATTTGTGGGTCCTGGGGCCACTTCAAACAAGTTGTACTCTTCCATGGGTCTGGTCTCTCGGGGGTCTCGTTGGGAGGCTCCTTGCCCACTGGAGCCTCCCTGGGGCGGTCGTAACGCCTCTCGGGGATATGCCGGAGGCCATCCTGGGCTGCGCTGATGAGGCATTGTTGGAGCCATACTGTGCCATATTGGACCCTCTCATGCCAAGCCTCCTCCTCCTCCTCCTCCTCCTCCTCCTCCTCCTCCTCCTCCTCCCGAACCCCAAGAGCCCAAGCTGGCTGGAGGCGTGGGCGGGGTCCCCAAACCGACGCAACCTGCAGGTGGCCACGGCACCTGCCGGGACCAAGAGGGCCCCAAGAGGCCCCAGGAGGCCCAGAGGCGATTGGCCTTCAACCGGTTCGGGTGCCCCACGGAGCCCCCGAGAGGGCCCACGAAGCTCAACAGTGCCCGGGCAAAAAGTGTCCACGCCGACGGCGTGAAGACAATCAGGCATGATGGCAAAACAATTGAAGTATACCCCCAAACCCAAAGTTGAAGTGTCCGTATTTTGTCCCCCGCGCGTTGCCTCGCACCCAGTCCCGTCAACTTTGGGCGGGGGGGGCGGGGGCTATGGATATTTGTTCGACGCAGTTCGACGTCGTATCATCTCGTCGCGATGGGTGTGGACACTTTTTGTCCACCCACCGAAGTTCGGGTATAGCCAGGACCCCAGGTAATGGGACCCAGTTAGTGGTAGTTCCCCGGAGCCCCGAAGTTTGCCAGAATCACTGAACCAGGCTGCCGTAGCTAGTGTTTTCTTCGGGCGACGGCAGTTCTGGCTAGTGGAACGGGGCGTGGGGGCGTCCCCCAGTACACATCACATCGCTACACATCAGCTCTGCCAACGCCCGAGAAGTACCTATGTAGTCAAAGAACACTTCCGCACGCTGTGCGAACGGGCGCCCAGCCTGCCGAAGCGCAAGGACGCAGGCAGCCTGCTCTCGTGGCGCCTTTTTGTAGCGGCCCCCCCCGTCGAGAGGGGGAAAGGCCTCGCTGGCCCCCGGCTGTCAGCGCAGCCCGGCGAAGGAGGAGGAGGAGGAGGAGGAGGAGGAGGAGGAGGAGGAGGAGGAGCAGGAGGGGAGGAGGAGGGGGAGGAGGGGGAGGAGGAGGTGGGAGGAGGAGGAGGAGGAGGAGGTGTGAGGAGGAGGGGAGGAGGAGGTGGAGGAGGAGGAGGAGTGTGGAGGGAGGAGGAGGAGGAGGGGAGGAGGTAAGGGAGGAGGAGGAGGAGGAGGAGGTGGACTGGAGGGAGGAGGAGGAGGAGGAGGAGGGGTGGAGGAGGAGGAGGAGGAGGGGGAGGGCGGAGGCGGCGGCGGAGGGCGGAGGAGGCGGGAGGAGGAGGAGGAAGGAGGGGGAGGAGGAGGAAGAGAAGGAATGAGCAGTGAGGAGGAGGAGGGGAGGGGAGGAGGAGGTGGAGGGAGGAAGATGGAGGAGGAGGAGGAGGAGGGAAGGAGGAGGTGGAGGAGGAGGAGGAGGAGGAGGAGGAGGCGGAGGAGGAGGCGGAGGAGGAGGAGGAGGAGGAGGAGGAGGAGTAAGGAGAGGGGAGGGAGTAGGAGGAGGAGGAGGAGGAGGGGACGGAGGAGGAGGAGGAGGAGGAGAGGAGGAGGTGGAGAGGAAGGAGGAGGAGGAGGAGGAGGACAAGCTAGGTGCGCTCGCGTCATATCTGACATCCTACCCCTCCCTCCCATCCCTTACCATGGCGCAGATCCCCTCTCTACTCGCACAGTCGGATGTCGAGCAGGGCAAGGATCCCGAAAGGGTACGCGATGCATTTTAGAGCACGGCATGGCATGGCGTAGAAGAGCACCGCAAAGCGTAGTATGTCACAGCATGGCGTGGCGTGGCGTAGTGAAGAATTGCATCACAGAGCTTTGCAACGCAAAGCATGGCATCGCACAGCGGCCCCGAACATAATATTGCATAGCATGGCGTTGAAGATCGAAGCGTACCAGGGCATAGCACGACGTGGCACTGAAGCACTGCATATCACAGCTTCAGCTGAAGGCATGGCATCGCGCAGCGGAACGCAACCTAGCATTGCATTGCATGCCGTGGCATGGCACGGGAAATGACGCCAGCGCTGCAGCGGGAGCACGATTCGGAACGAGCGGAAGCGCGGAAATGAGGCCAGCGCTGCAGCGGGAGCACATTTCGGAACGAGCGGAAGCACGGAAATGAGGCCAGCGCTGCAGCGGGAGCACGATTCGGAATGAGCGGGGCCCGAAAATGAGGCCGGCGCCTCAGCGAGAGCAGCATTTTGAAAATAAATGCAGGCGAAAACCCAACTCCGGGGAATCCTGTGTAAACAAACAACACTACGCGGAGGGGGGGGGGGGGGCGGGGCGAACACTCCCAACCCGTCATCAGGGGAAGGAGGAGAGTAGTATTCATATTGAGTTATTGTGGAGGAGGAGGAGGAGGAGGAGGAGGAGGAGGAGGAGGAGGGAGGAGGGAGGAGGGGGAGGAGGAGGAGGAGGAGGAGGAGGAGGAGGAGGAGGAGGAGGAGGAGGAGGAGGAGGAGGAGGAGGAGGGAGGAGGAGGAGGAGGAGGAAGAGAAGGAGGAGGAGGAGGAGGAGGAGGAGGAGGAGGAGGAGGGGGGAGGAGGAGGAAGGAGGAGGAGGAGGAGGAGGAGGGAGGAGGAGGAGGAGGAGGAGAGCAGCAGACGGACGACGACGACCGCGGAGGCAGGGAGGCCAGGGTCAGAGTGACGAAGCAGGAGGGCGGGCACGAGAAAGGCCGGAGGCCGCAGAGAAGGCGCCCCCCTCTCGAGAGATCTCCAGGCGGGTCCCAAGACTCTATGCCGCCAAGATGGGGTCCGAGTAGGTGGGGTCGGAGGATCGCGCCGCATCGCCGATGCATCGCCGATGCGGCTCGATGTGAAGCCCGATTTCTTTCACGTCGAGATCGGCGATGCGGCGCGGTCCTCCGACCCCATCAACTCCGACCCCATCTAGGAGGCCTCTAAAGACGCACCTCAGAGTGCCCAAGAGGGTCCCAAGCGACTTCCAGGCATGCCCACCATAGGGGGACGAAGAATGACACAAGCATACAAGCTCTGAGGTCCGCGCGGATTTCTCGGATCGGCGCTGGACCCCCCTCCCTGGCGCGCAGAGCGCGCCAGGGGCGGCGCCAGGGGCGGCGCCGGAGGCGCCGCCAGGGGGGTCCAGCGCCAATCCGAGAAGTCCACGCGGACATCCGAGTTTGTATGTTTATGTCATTGCTTGTCCCCATAACGAACTCAGACGGCTGGCGAACGTTCGCACAGTCGGAACAGACGAATCGTGGTGTGCACCCCTGGAAGCGTGACGATGCCCAGTCCTGAGGCAAAACCCAAGCGCGCGTTACCCGCGTGGTTCTAGGAGTTTTCGCGTGGCCTTCGGCACATCCTGCAACTGTGCCTGGGTCATGGACAAGGGGCCAGCAGCAGTTTTGGCTCAGGGCACCCAGTGCTCCTGGACCATTCTGCCCTCAAATGTGGCCTTTTAGGAAACTGCGGGCGACGTTCCAACCTCAAAGCAGAAATGACCTGCCCGTCACCATCAACACGATCACGCTGGCTTTCAGTGATCCAGGCATCGAGAGAGGGTTCGTGAAGAACCGCATGCCCAGAACGGTGACCAACTTCCGCCTGTTGATCGTCTTGGGTCTCCTGCTGTGTATTACGTCGCTGATAATTAGCGAGTTTTGGAAGTTTGATCAGTACCCGACTGAAGAGGAGAATAGAACGAAGACGTTGATGATCACCGTTGTTGCTAGCATCGTGGTCTGGGGCACCCTCCTGCTAGCCGTAAGCTTCGTCCCGGGATTGTTCGGCGGAGCTAATTTTGTGGCTCTGGAAGTATACAGCCGCCTCCGGCTATTCCGCGACCGTGCCAGCACCACATTCCGGGTGGCAGTTACTCGAGGAGGCAAGGGGCTTGCTGGGGGCCTCTTGAGGCAGAAGGCTCGACGCCCAGGGACCCACAGGACACAAGAGTAGGGGTTGGAGCACGCGATTGGGCGCGACGTGAGGTGTGGGTGGGCCCCATCAGAAGACTGCAGAAACCCTGCCAGAAAGCGCTTGGCATTGTTTCACGCCTCAGCGTGCCAGGAGGCACGGTGGCGGTTTCATGGCCACATCTGCCGTACTTCCCCTCGTGGCCCATACGTTTGCCTTGCCGTGGTATGCGGCCCGTGTACTAGGGGTCGAACCTGCGGCGCTCGGGGAGTCTTTCGGCTCCCTGACGGACACCAGGCACGTTCTTGCCATCGACCTGCTCGTGACTGGCACTCACTTGGCGTTGCCAGTAAGACCATACGCTCTTGCCATTGTCGAGGTGGCCAGTTTTCTGGGCTACGTGGTGCCCGCCTGGGCGCTGGGTGGGCCAGAGATGGAGGACGCGCCGTTCACGACGATGTTCCTGGCGTGCCTTATCGGCGCGGCCGCTTGGGGGAAGCGCAGCATGGAGTTCCAGGAGCGCGTACAGTTCCTGACGCTGATCAGAGAGAGGAGCCTCCGCTTCCAGTCCGAGTTCGCGCTCTCCCAGCACCAGCTGGGCAAGTTCAAGCAGCAGGGCGTAAGCGCGCCCTCGGAGCCGTCAGAGGCGGGGAAGGAGTCGCTGCCATCCACCACGGAGTCGGGAAGAGTCTTCAGCGGGAGCAGATCTGGCATATCCAAGGATCTCATAGACGAGTTGGCGGCCGTCGGCGCGAGGGAGCAGTGGCTCATCAGGCAAGAGGAGATCACCGTCATCCAGGGTCGACAGCTGGGGGAGGGAGCCTTTGGGAGGGTCGTCCGGGCCAGGTACCAGGGGATCCACGTGGCGGTCAAGGTCCCAAAGGTGCGCACCAAGAGGATCACCGACAACTCGCACCTGGTGGAGGTGTGCGACGAGCTGCGCGTCCTCAGGCGCATCCGCCACCCGAACATCGTGCTCTTCTACGGGGCGGCCCTGGACCAGAAGAACCACGACCTGGCTCTGGTGCTCGAACTCGTGGACGGCGTGTCGGTCCGGAGCTTAGTGCGCGGCGGCCGGAGGGACGAGGGCGACGGCGTCGGCCCTGCGCGGCCCAGTGCCATGGAGAGATCGCAGGTACTCAGCGGGCGAAGAACGGTATACGATACAGTGGGGGCGTGTGCCAAGAAACCAGTCGGAATTTGCCACTGCGCCCTGGGGGTTTCTTGGATTGCGATGGGGGGCCCCAATGAGATCTTGACGGTCTTCGATCAACAAATCTGGATTTTCACTGAACACATCGCGGATTTCAGGGTTGGGTTTCTTGCGGAGGTTTCTTGTGGCCGAGCCCCCACTGTAACTTGTTCCGTCACCGGAGGCGCTGCCCCAGGGCGGCTGGACAGGTCGTACCTTGACGTGCCACCGTGAGGGTATAAGCTTTCCAGTCGCCCTGGGGAAGGCGCCCCCGACAGCGAAAAGGTTTATTTTACACCCTTCTTCGCCCTTTGAGGTATTGGTGGACGTAGCATGTGCCCTGCAATACCTGCACTCGCGCACCCCTGCCATTGCCCACGGCGACCTGAAGGACCGCAACGTCTTCGTGGAGGTGCCACGCGCCCGCGCCTCGGTGCGGGCGAAGCTCCTGGACTTCGGGCTGTCGCGCGTGCTGACGCGGCATGCCAAGCCGATGGGTGGCACCCTGTGCTGGGCCGCGCCAGAGCTCTTGCGGACCATGGGCACCAGGGAAACGAACAATGACATAACCATACAAAAACTCGGAGGTCCGCGCGGATGTCTCGAATCGGCGCGGACCTCCGAGCTCTTCTGCTGGTGGCGTCGTTCGTTCCCCTAGGCACGGCCACCGGCACAGCCCCCGACGTCTTCTCCTTCGGCCGCCTCGCCTACTTTGTCGTCACCGGGCGGCTGCCCTTCCAGAGCACGATGGTCGGGAACATCGAGGCGGCGGTTGCGCAGCTCGTCGCTCCCCTCGAGTGGTCGCCCGGCAGCTGGCTGAGCGACAGATGGCGGCCCCTCGTGGAGCAGTGCGCTCGCGAGGAGGCATCGGCGAGGCCAGCGATGCAGCAGGTCTACAGGCTGGCCGCGGACTGTCACGGCGAGATGCTGGAGTCGGTGGCGTCGGAGCTCCCGCTGGACATCCCCCGGCTGATCGCGGAGAACCAGGCGAGCGGTGACGCGCAGGCAGGGGACAGCGCAGGCAGGCCACAGAGTTCCGAGCAGACCCAGCTGGCCACCACCGCGACGAGCATCTCACAGACGGAGAGGACAGATACGCTCACAATGCCACTGTCTCGCTATGCCAGAACGCCCGACACCACTGCCATTCTCTTGCTCATCGAGACTGTCGTGAGCCTGAATTTGCAGATCCCCGCGCAGTCTTGCTGCGAGTTCCATGGCACGGTGCGGTCTATGGAGAAGTTGCTGCTCAGCCTCCTCCATAAGCCGTGCAAGAGGTGGGAGTCCTTCGACAGTGAGACAGGGCCCATTGTCGGCCAGTGTTCTCAGTGCGGGGTTCTGATACGGAAAAACGTGCAGGACAGCAGCAGAAACACGCTGCCAGCCATCTTTGAGTGCTTCTTCTGTGAGCACCAAAACACTCCTGCAGACTAGGGAAAACACGCTGTCGACCACTAGCTGCGCCGAAAGGATTTGCGAGCCCGCCTCGGCTGTGTCACAAGGGTTGCTGGTGCTCGTGCGCCGCAAGGCATCCCGTCACAAAGGTAGTTTCTTCGGCTGACAGTCTGGTTGTGCTCGGCTGCCGCGAGCTCTGTATACTGCGAGCTGGCCTTTCAAATTCTCCTTGCTTCGCATATCCCCATCAGTCCATTCGGAAACCCTGCCCATGAGAGGTGACGGGAAAAGGGGCGAAGAGAGAGATGTAGTGAAACGAAGCGGGCAACCAGGGTAAACAGAGAGATCTTTGGGAGCAAGGGGGTGGCCTTGGAGGGCCTCTGCGGGCCATCCCTGGGAGCCGCGTGGGGAGAAGGAGGAGGAGGAGGAGGAACACGACGACGACCACGACCACCACCACGACCACAACCACGACCATGACCACGACGACCGCGAGGAAGAGGAGGAACAGGAGAAGGAAGATTATGAGGGCGAGGACGAGGAGGAGGAGGAGGAGGAACACGACGACGACCACGACCACCACCACGACCACAACCACGACCATGACCACGACGACCACGAGGAAGAGGAGGAACAGGAAAAGGAAGATTATGAGGGCGAGGAGGAGGAGGAGGAGGAGGAGGAGGAGGAGGAGGAGGAACACGACGACGACTACGACCACCACCACGACCACAACCACGACCATGACCACGACGACCACGAGGAAGAGGAGGAACAGGAAAAAAAAGATGATGAGGACAAGGACGAGGACGAGGGGGAGGAGGAGGAGGAGGAGGAGGAGGAGGAGGCGGAGGAGGAGGACAACGAGGACGAGGACAGAGCCCTCTGAAACTGCTTCTTGGAGCCCCCTTTGGATTCTTTTGGGGGATCTCGGGGCCCTCTCCTACTTTCTGCTTCGACATTTCGGAAGACGGGATGGCGTGGCTTAGCGCGAGCGGCCGCAACTGGAGACAGAAACTCAAGGGCCTTGTAAAAGATCTTGTGCGACATATGGCCGGTGTGCTACAAGTCGCGGTCGGAGGCTTCCCACGACTAGCTCGTGGACAGTGTCTGCGACATGGCCGCGGAGCTGCTGGCGGCAGTAAAGAAGAGACCCCCGCCAGAGGAAACACAGAACGCTCTGTCACCGGCTATGGGGCGTCGCAGCAGAGCTGGAACTTCGCCGACACTTGCACTTGCGACGCCAGTGGCGGCCGCGAAGAGACCCCGACGGATTCCGCAGATTCGCGACGCCCACACGCCGCATGCCGCTGAATCTGCCGCGGCAGAGAGGCCACAGACACCGCGAAGTCTTCATTTTGCTGAGGCGTTGGCCACATCAACGCGGACGTCGCAGCTCAGGTCCCCAGTTGAGCCTGAGGCTACGACCCCATCTGTAAAATCTAAGCCTGATGCTTGTGACGTTTGGACGACGGAACAGTTCGGCGCATTCTTCGGTGCCAAAGACGTCAGGCCAAGCATCACGAATTTAGCTAAGGGATTGCGGGAAATCCAAGCGGACAGCAGCCGCGCTGTCTGGCCGACCAAGAGCGGCCGCCAGGCATTGCATAAGAGGCCGTACCGCGCCCAAACCGATTACAAGAAGGCCCCGGCTGGGGAAATCCGGAACCGGTCCACCATCGGGGTTCTGTACTTCTTGAGTCGCATCGTGGGCAGTGGCGGCCCGCGCGGCCAGACGGTCGGAGACAGTGCTTTTGGAGCAGTTGAGCATGTCGACGGTCGCTGACGGCGGACCCTCAGGGCATCGGCTCCTCGGTCGCAGGCGACCGGTGCGACGCGGACGCCGCAGCGACGGGAGAGCTGAAAACATTTCAACTGTGGCTCTTCCCGCCAGACTTGCCAGCGGAGGACTCGTTCGATGCCGAGCGTCGCGCCGCGCGCGCGCAGCGCGCCAATCTCAGCGCGCAAAAGCAGCAGCATCGGCAAGCGGGAACTGGAGCTGCGCACGCGCGTGGCTTGTCGAACACTGCGGCGCTTCTCAGCTTCATTATACCCAACTGCGGGTGTTTTTCAAAGTACATCGCGCCGGGTACTTCGACGATGTCCGCCACCGGGGGCCATGACATTGGGCCGCTGCTACGTCGGGCGCAACGGCAGACGGGCATCGCGCCAGAGCGCCACCGCGGAGTGCTTGCGTCAGCTCTTGGAGTGCACCGGTTTAGGCGCGCGCTACTGCGATGGCCAGGGGCGCGTCGCCGACGGGAGTCCTCGTTCTCTTCTTCGCGCCAGACGTGGCCACGGTCAGCGAGGCAGCCGGGCCCGTCCCCGCAAAGACTCTCTTGCTTATGGCCGCGTCTGGCGATGGGGCGCTCCGCGCTGGCTCGCAGGCACTGATCGTGCGCGTAGAGAACACGCGTGAGCAGGGGGACCAAGCGCGCCGAGTGGACGCGACGGTGGAGTGGCCGGCCGGCCCCCTGAAGCTGGCATTCGACAACGTTGAAGTGAGGAACTTGGACTACGACGCGTAGGGCTACATCGCCCATCGTCTCGACGATAAAGCAGACGTCTCCGGCGGCGTGTGCTCGGGGCATTACGTCGCCTCTTTAAGCGCGGCGCTGCCTTGCTCTTGGCCAGCGATGGGCGCAGGTGGGAGCTGTCCGCGCCGCCCACGCAGTTCCCGTGCGTCGCGTTGTTGACGCGCTGCGACCGAGGCTGACCAGCGCGCGCAGAGGCGCTGCAGACGCGGGTGCAGGGCGTGAAACGAGCCCGGCGCGCGGCCCCAGCGATGACGCAGGTCGCGCCGCCCGCGAGGTCGAGCGCTCGGGCTGCGACGCCTAGCGCTGACCGGCTAACGCCGCCTGCGGCGAGTGACCACATTGGCCAGAACGCTGCGAAGAGCCGGCCCTGGCGAGCTCAGGACTGGTCAGGGGGAGACCAGTCAGGGCGATGCCGAGACCAGTCAGGGCGACGCCAGGACTGGCCAGGTGGGCGCCAGGGCCGGCCGGGGCGAGACCAGTCAGACTGGAGCTCGGGGAGAACGCGGGCCAGGCATGAGGCATCAGCAGCAGCTCCGACAACAGAGGCCACCATAACCTATTCTTACATCTAACTGCATGGGCCACCCGCGCAAGCGCTTCTGCGAGAGCTACAACAAGTGCCGCAAGGGCTCCGGGCGGATGTCCGCCAGCGGGAGACGCGACTGATCCGCCCGGCCCATTGCAGCGCATGCTCTGTCCCCGCGGCGCCGATGCTCCTTGTTGGGAGGGGCGGCTGCGGTACTTCCATGAGGAGCGCGGTGCCAGGCAGCGGTGCCGCAATGCGTGGCAGCGCACATGCAGCTGGCCCCCCGTGTGGTTTCTGGCCAGGAGTGGCGCGCCACCGTCGCCAACTTTGTCGAGTTCCACGGTCGCGTCGCGACCCACTGGGGCAATTTCGCGATGGGCGCGAAGTCGGAGCTGAGTGGCGAGGATGACCTGCGCCCCAGATGCCGCTGGCAACGTCGTTCACTGGGTGGAGGAGTTCTACTGCGAATGCGTCGCGGGGGGCGAGCGCTCGATGGTGAAGCCGACCGTCGCCCGGGAAACGCCGAGCGCCGAACGTCGCGCTGAGAGATGGGATCTGATGCTCAACGCAGTGCTGGAGAGCTCCGCCGTCGTCGTCGCTGCGTCTGGGGCGAGTAGAGACGGGGTCGGCGCGGAGCCCCGCGGCGCAAGCGCTGCGTGAGCATGGATGAAGCAGGCGGGGGAAAACAAGCGCTCGTTTGCTCTGCGTGCAAGCGGGCGCTCGGGGTGCCCCGTTTTGAATTTTGCAAGCGCGCCCTCGCGAATGACCTTGCTCGGCCGCTGGGGCCCGCTCTTCCGCGACGCGGAGAGATGCCCGTTGCCCCGCCAGGTGCGCCTGGCGCTGGCGCGCGCGGCCGCCGCCCAGACCGCCCTGTGCCCCGACGGGGGCAAAAGTCAGACTCGACCTCTAACGGCAAGGCGCGCCCGTATTTCCTGTTCCACCAGGAGTGGCGTCGTTGGCGCGGCGGTCTTCTGCAAGAACGCGGACTGCCGCTCGGCGCATCAACGACCCCCGTCGCCGAGGACCAACGACTCTTCCGCCGTCAGTTTGGTCGCCGGCCCCGCGGCCAGTGATCCACAAGAGCAGGCCGAGAAGTGCGCGCCCAAGATTGCCGAGCTCAAGATCGGCCGCCGCGAGCTCGACGATCAGGCAACTGCGTTGACTCAGACCAACGCCGTCTGCGCGATCGAGAACTACAACGACAATCCGGTTGCCGCGTGGGCCCCCGATGCGAGCGCGCCCGTCGCCCCGCCCGCCGCGTGGGCGCCGTCGTCGGGGAGCCGCTGGAGACGTCGCCCGGGCAGGTCGCGGTCGAAGGCCCCGCCGACGTCGCGGCCGCCGCCGCCAGAGAAGCCTTTGCATCGCGGCCTTCGAGCCACAGGTTAGACTTCAACGACGAAAAGAAGAGCGGCGCCATGGAGGTCTGTGTTGTGATTCGACAGCTTGAGGAACTTGAGCATGCCGCGCAGCCCTCGGCGGCCGCCGAGGTCGAGTCCGCGCTGGAATCCCCCCGGCGCCAGGAAGACAGGGGCGGCGCGGTGGGCGGCGCGCGCCGCGCCCGCACCTTGGACACGCGGGCGGGCCCGCCAGTCTCGCGTCAACTTCGACGCCGCCAGCAGGCAGACAGAAATCCCGCGGGGGCCACAGAAGATCGCCACCGGCAAACAGGATTGGCAGGTGGCGGAGGCGCCAGGCGCGGCCAGCAGCTGGGGGGCCATTCTACGCTTGGTACACCCTCGTGGGCGCGATCCTTTGTCCAGCTGGGATGGGCGGATCTGGGCGACGGCGCGTCCCGCCCGCGCGCTTCGGAGGCGCGGCGGACTTGTTCCCTGAGCGAGGAACCATGCTCACGCTCAACGAGTGGATGTGCTGCTTTCTTCTCCGAAAACAAACGGAGTACGACGTGGAGGTGGAGGGGCTGGGGGCCTGCAGAGCCTGCGCCAACGAATCTGCTGGAGAAGTCCATCGCTTCAGCTGGCGCTGCACCTCTTTCCTTCGGGGGTCCTTGCGTCGTAGCAGGATTCAACGTGCGCGTTCCTGAAAAATCGAAGCTTCGCGTGGGCTCAGTAGGCTAGACACTTGCAACCGTGAGAGATTTCGGGGGCAGCCAGACTGGGCCAGGCTGGGGGCGACTTCCGCGCCGCGCGATTGCTCAGCGTGCAAAATGTCGTAGCTGATCCGCGACGCGCTGAACATCGCGCAGATGGCCGCGATGCAGGTCCTCGGCGCCGACGGGCATCGGCGGCTCTGCCTCCGCGAAGGCAACGCGTGCGCCATTTTGGAATCCTGCGCGCCGAATCTCGCGGGCGGAAAGCAGCCGCGTCTCTGGGTGATCCAGAGCTAGAAATTTCACGTGGGCGGAACGCTCGACGACGAGGGATCGCATCAAAATGCTGCGAGATGATGCTGCGTTGGCAGGAACCTGGTCGGGCAGACACGCGTGTTCCACCCGATGATGCTTCTGTTTTTTCCAGCACGCGAGGTCCGGGCTCCAAGCGCAAGGGAGTGGAGGGCTTGGAGGGGCAGTAGGCCTGGAGACGAAAGTGGAAGGTTCGGACATATATGCAGCGAGATGCAGAAGTTCGGCGCGCGAGCCGCGCCACGAAACGGCGGCCAGCGTTTTGCGATAGGGACGTTGGCTGGCCCCTCTGTTCGGCGCGCGAAGCGCGCCACGGAACGGTGACCAGCGTTTTGCGATAGGGACATTCGCTGGCCCCTCTGTTCGGCGCGCGAAGCGCGCCACGAAACGGTGGCTAAGCCTCAGGACTCGCGCGCCAGGGCTCGGGGCTCGGGGCCCATGGACCAGGGCCCCCGAACGGTTTGCAGCGTCTACACTTCGGCGCGCGCGGCGCGCCGCACGATTTACAGCGTTTACATTTGGGCGCGCGAAGCGCGCCGAACGGTTTATAGCGTTTCCAGCTCGGCGCGCGAAGCGCGCCGAACGGTTTGCAGCCTGCGCACTGTATGCGCGACTGCTTGAAGCCCACCCCCCCCTTTCCTGTATATCAGATACCTCCGAGGGCTTGCGCAGTCGCCGGACCACGTGCCTCGGATCCGTACCGTACTGCCCTGCGCCGAAGCCAGCGCCGCGGGGCCGCGCCGCCTGGGGCCGCGCCGCGGCGCGCGCGCCGCTGGGCCGCGCGGCCGGGGGCCTCGCCGCGTGGCCGCGCGGCCTGGGGGCGTGAGGCCGCGCCGCCCGGGCCGCGGGCGCGCGCCGCGGGGCCGCGCAGCCCGGGGCCCGGGGCCGCGGGGCGCGCCGCGGGGCCGAGGCGCCCGTGGCGCGGGGCCCCGGGGCGCGCAGCGGGGCCGAGCCGACTGGGGAACATCCCTAGAACCGAACGTTCCGGACGCGAAACCGAACGTGGAACCGAACCGAACATCTTCAGCGCGCCAGGGAAAAAAAACGCCAGGGATGACCCACCAGAACCGAACATGCACCGAACATGAAACCGAACGTATCCCGAGCGTGAAACCGAACATAACCAGCCCAAACTCAGAAACGAACATATTCCGAACACGAAGCCGAACATATTCCGAACATTTTCAGCGCGCCGCTGGCGCGCCCGCAAAAATGCCGGGGGACAGCTGCAGAACCGAGCGCTCCGAACATGAAGCCTCCAGAGCCTAACATGCACCGAACATGAAATACCAGGGAAGACCTCCAGATCCAAACGCGAAACCGAACATCTCGCCAGGGGGGGGGGGCCAGAACCGAACGTGCAATCCAGCATCTTCAGCGCCCCGCGTCGCGGGCCCCGGGCCGCGCGCTCCGGGGCGCGCTCCGCGGCCCTAGGCCCTGGGCGCCCCGCCAGTCCCGCAGCGCCCGCGGGCCCCCGCAAGTCCAACAGGTCGCAGGGTGCGCGCGCTGCGAGCGCCGAAACGCATGCGCTGCGAACTGTTTCGCGCGCTTCGCGCACGGAGCTGTGCGCGCTGAAAACCGTTCGGCGCGCTCCGCGCGCCGCTGTGTAGACGCTGTCAACCGTTCGGCGCGCATCGCGCGCCGACGTGTACGCGCTGTAAGCCGTTCGGCGCACTTCGCGCGCGAAATCGCGCGCGCTGTAAAACCGTTCAACGCGCTTCGCGCGCCGAAGTGTAACGCGCAGTAAATCGTTTGGCGCGCTTTTCGTGCCGAAGTGTAAACGCTAGAAACCGTTCAGCGCGCTTCGCGCGCCGAAGTCTAAACGCTGTAAACCGTTCGGCGCGCTTCGCGCGCCGAGCTGCTACGGTGCGATCCGAGGGGCGGCGAACCCAAAAACTATGGAGTCGAACCTTAATGAGGGCGAGCCCTATGGGGGCGACCCCTGTGGAGAGGCCCTATGGGGGCGAACCCTCTGGGGGCGAACCCCTATTGGGCCGAACCCTTGGGGGCGGGCCCTATGGGGGCGAACCGTATGCGGGCGAACCTTACGGGGACGAAAGCGATGGGGCGGGGGGCGGCCCTATGGGGGCGAACCCTCTGGGGGCGAACTCCATGGGGGCAATCCCTCTGGGGGCGAGCCCTCTATGCGTGGGCGAACCCTGGGGGGGCGAACCCTATGCGGGCGAACCCTATGGGGGCGAACCCGATGGCCCCCAAGGAGGCAAACCCTAGGGGGCGAACCCTCTGGGGGCGGCCCCTATGCAATGGGGGCGCACCCTATGCTACGGGGGCGAATCCTACGGGGGCGAACCCCATGGGGACGAACCCTATGGGTGAGCTATGGGGCGAACCCTCTGGGTGCGAACCCTGTGGGGGCAAACCCTATGGGGCTGACGACGATGACGACTTCGACTCTGACTCTGGCCCCGACGACAGCGACGACAACGGCGAGGACGACGACGATGACGACGACGACGACGACGACGACGACGACGACGACGACGACGACGACGACGACGGCGACGACGACGAAGGCCACGACGGCGATGATGACGACGACGACGACGACGACGACGGTGGCGACGTCGGCGACGGCGACGGCGGCGGCGGCGGCAACGGGGACGGCGGCGGCGACGGCGACGGCGACGGCGGCGGTGACGGCCACCGGTGGCGGTGACGGCGACGGCGACGGTGACGACGACGACGATGAAGACGAAGAAGACGACGACGACGACTCCGACGACGACGACTCCGACTCCAACGACTCCGACCCCGGCTCCGACGACGACTTCGCCCAAGACTCCGACGACGACGACGGCGACGGCGACGACGACGGCGGCCATTCCGACGACGACAACGACAACGTCGACCTTCTGACGCTGACGGCGACGACGACGACAACAAAGACTACCACGACGACGGCGACGTCGACGACGTCGACGACGACGACGACGACGGCGGCGGCGGCGAAGACGAGGACGAGGACGAGGACGTCGACGACGACGACCACGACGACAACTTCGACGACATCGACTCCAACGACTCCGACGATGATGATGATGATGATGATGATGATGATGATGATGATGATGATGATGATGATGATGATGATGATGATGATGATGATGATGATGATGATGATGACGAGACGACGACGACGGCGACGACGACTGATTTCGACTCCGACTCCGGCGATGGCCTCGATGACCCCGGCTCCGACTCCCGACGACGACGATTCCGACGACGACTCCCACGACGACGACGGTGACAATTCCGACTTCGACGACGACGACGACGACGCCGACGACGACTCCAACGACGATTCCGACGACGACGGCACCGACGGCACCGACGACTCCGACGACTAAGACGACGACGACGCTGACGGCGACGACGACGAAGACGACTCTGACTCTGACTCCAATTCTGACTCCGACGACGACGACGACGACGACGACGACGGCGATGGTCACTCCGACGACGACGACGACGACGACGACTACGACGACGGCGGCGACGGTGTCGACGACGACGACGACGACGTCGACGTAGGCTGCGACGACGACTCCTACGACGACTTCGACTCCAACTCCGACTCCCACGACTTTGGCCAAACGCGAGACCAGAAGTTCAAGTTTTGGCAGTCGTGGCCCCAAACGTGAGAACTTGAAAGTCTGGTCTCGCGTTTGTGGCTACGATTGCCAGAACGTCGTCATCGTCGTCGCCGACGTCGTCGTCGTCGTCGTCCCGTAGTTCCCGGGGCAGGGGCTCCTGTTATCACTTTGATCCGTCTCACCTCATTCTTCCTCTCCTTCCTCCTCCTCAATCAGAGGCACTCATACTGAGACTCGTTCATCGGCACTCAGACTCACTCACACTCAGACTCGCTCGTACTCAGACCCGCTCACACTCAGACTCACTCACACCCAGACTCGCTCACACTCAGACCTACTGGCACTCAGACTCACTGACACTCAGACTCACTAGCACTCAGACTCACCCAGGCTCAGACTCACTCGTGCTCATACTCACGAGGCGTGACCTCTGAGTCACTGACCCATTCTCAAGCTCAGACTCAACTGACGCTCAGATCACTCAGACTCACACTCAGCTCCGCTCACGCTCAGACTCACTCACATCTAGACTCGTTCACACTCAGACTCACTCAGACCCAGGCTCATTCCCAGTCAGACTCGCTTGCACTCAGACTCGCAGACAGTGAGGACGCCTCGAGCGAGGCGCCGGGTCTGGCTTCCTCCACCCCCTCCTTCCTCGCCCCACTGTCCTTGTCGCCATTCTGCTCGCCTCGTCCTCCTCCTCCACCAGGCCCTCCTCCCTCTCCTTCGGCCTTCCCTCCCCTTGCTCTCTCCGGGGGACCGCGCAAAGATCGCGCATGCTCCGAGTGTTCGCGCCGGGCGAACTCTTCGAGGATGACCCTGCAGCCGACGCCGCCACGATGTCCGAACATATTTCGAACATATTCAGGATATCACCACACATGGATCTCTCTCAACGACCATCCCCCGAACATGAAACCGAACATGTTTCGAACATCTCCAGAAAAAGCACCCCGACCATCTTTCGAACATATTCAGGAAAGCAACATATCCTGACGACTCCATTCGATATTGAACTACAACCATAGATCCACGCTGAGATAAGGACCTCTTCGGACTGGGAAGGGCCTTTTGTACCTTAGGTCATGGCGCTCCCCTTCCCCCTCCTCTTCATCCATCCTCTTCCTCCTCCTCTCCTCTCGCAGCGCTCGAGAGTCCAGAGTTCAGCCGCAACGTGATATCTCTTGTACTCGCGGACCGCCCATGACGGGATTGTGGTTTAAGTATATAGCCAAGCGGCCCTTGACCAGCTGTTGGATGTGTTGTAGTGGTCCTCGCTTTTTTTGGGGGGGGGCCTTGCCGGCAATCGTGCACGCTGGTTCGATTGCATCGGCCCAGCCGCCTCCCCCGAGCAGGTCGACGTCGAGGCCGAGGAGGGAGGGGTGGAGGGAGGAGAGAGCAGGAGCAGCAGCCGTGGCGGGAGCAGGCCAGGCCTCGAGGCCGAAGCACGTGCGAGCTTCGAGCTCGCCGCTGCGGCCCGGCTCGCCCGTGGCCAAGGCCGCTGCAACGAGAGCTGGGCACGAAGGAGCCAGGCAGCTCAGCAGTGTGCACACCGGGGCCAGGTACGTCGGTCCCCATCACGATTCACGACATGATTCTCCCTCCCAAAGGCAGCTACGTCTACTGGCCACGAGGTCACGCCACACGCGGCGCTCAGAATCTTTTCGGAGAAGTTGAGCAGGCTTCCCCAACTGGGGAGGTTTAGTGTTCTCGACTGCCTCCCTTGCTCGAAGGGCTGGCCCTTTCCACGTGTTTGAAGCTGGCCACTGGTTAACTCCTCCTCCTCCTCCTTTTCCTCCTCCTCCTCCTCCCCCTCCTCCCCCTCCTCATCCGCCTCCTCCTCCCCCTCCTCCCTCCTCCTCCTCCTCCTCCTCCTCCTCCTCCTCCTCCTCCTCGTCCTCCTCCTCCTCCTCCTCCTCCTCCTCCTCCTCCTCCTCCCGCGCTCCACATCTGGCAGCGCCACCCTTCCTGCGGAGCTGCCGCCCTGGCACGAGCGTGGGCGGCCCTCGGGCCTCGGAGAGGCTGCGAGGGCTGGGAGGGCGGAGGGGGGCAGCAGGAGCTGAGGTCGTGCTCGTCTTACGAGGAGGAGGGAGGAGGAGGAGGAGGAGGAGGAGGAGGAGGAGGAGGAGGAGGAGGAGGAGTAGGAGGAGGAGGACGAGGAGGGGGAGGAGGAGGGGGAGGAGGAGGAGGAGGAGGAGGAGGAGGAGGAGAAGGAGGATGAGGAGAAGAATAATAGGAGGAGGAGGAGGAGAAGGAGGAGGAGGAAGAGGAGGAGCTAGGAGGAGGAGGAGCAGGAGCTGTGGTCGTGCTCGCCTCACGGTGGGGGCGTTCGTTAAGGAACATGCCCAGGACTTTGTGAGCCCCGGAAACGGCAGGGCCGTTTATTCACCGTGTCACAAAAAATGCCCCTTGAATATGGACACGGCAAAAAAGCGGCGACCGGAAACGGCCCAAAAAAGGCTCCAGGATTGGAACCGGAGCCGGAACAGGTCAAAAAACGGCGACGGAACCGGTAAAACAACGGCGTCTGAATCGGCAAAAAACGGCAAAACGGAACCGGTAAAAAAAACGGCCCTGCCGTTTCCAGGGCCCACTAAGGCCCAGGAGGCTTCAGACCCTGCAGGACTCCTTATCTGACGAGGGCGGCGGTGCTATCCATTGCCGATCCACGATCGGAGTTCCACCGGCTTCCAGGCCCTGGATTCGACATCCAATGCTTCCTCATCCAATGCCCCCACCGTGTGTCGAAGAAGAAGAAGAACGCCATCATTAGCATAAACTTTTGGCGCTCCGTGCGGATTTCTTGGATCCGCGTTGGGTCCCCCCGGCGGCGCCTCCGGCGCCGCCCCTGGCGCGCTCCGCGCGCCATGGAAGGAGGTCCAGCGCAGATCCAAGAAATCCGCGCGGAGCGCCAGAAGTTTATGTTTATGGCGTTGTTTCTTCTCCTATGGGAAGGGAGCGGAGATAGTTGCCACGGGCTGCCTTTTTGAGCGGTGCTGCCCAGGCGCTCCACTGTTCCGGGGCCGCCACGGACGCCTGCGAGTTGCCCAACCGGCAGCCACGACTCTTGCGAGCTGCCCGCGCCTGTGCGTGTGGCGTCCTGCTCTCGATTCTCCTCCTCTCCTTTCTCAACATCCTTCTCCTCCTTCCGATCCCTCCTCCCACCAAACCACCCCAACCCAACCCGAAAGCCCCGATTTGCCCTCCGTTTCCAGTGGGGGGGGGTCGGGGAACATTGAACAAAACACACATAAAGCCCGTACCCCCCAACCAGAAATTCGGGCGAAATTCGGGTCTTCGGGTTGGGTTGGGGTGGTTTGGTAGGTAGTCTCGATCCCTCCTCCCCCTCCTCGCGAAGTCGCGCCTTCACGCGTCACCTCCACCGATCAACCTCCACCCTCCACCAGCACAACATCCCGACCTAAAATTTCTAGTCTCCGACTTCCAGTTTCCACCACCAATCGATATCCAGCTTATTTCTTGGGTGTGTCACAGAGCGCGTATGGTCCTTCGGCTGCGCGTGTATCTTCGCGCTAAGTGGTATATGAAGGATGTGTCAAAGAGCTCGTGAGAACACGAGTGATCCTGCGCACGTGTGCACTGGATTGGAGTTCCGAGGCGTTCATCTCGTTCGTGTTTGGCTTGGGCTTCGCGGTTACAGAAAGGACGATGACATCCACAGGATTCCCCGACAGGTTCATGCCACAGACACTAACGAAACTACGTCACTACATCGGGCTACAACAGAGGAGTGGGAACAATTGGAACATCAACTCGTGAGGTAGGCATTACCCTGAGCAAGCCTCCGACGCACGCTGCCTCTCATGCGAGGCCATGGCCTCATCCGCCTCGCCCTTAAGAGGCCCCGGCGCATGCCCGCACAGGCGATCCGGTCCGATCCGATCCCACGTGGCGCACGCTGCTCTGCTCAGGGGACGTGCCAGGTTTCGCACGCACACTGGCTAGAAACGACTGCTGTGCTGCTGCCTGGAGGCGGCTGCTGCGTTATTCTCTTCTGCTGCCTCCCTCATGTTCCCTTGGCCCGACTGGTTCTGCCGCTAACGTGCCACGTCGACTTTCTGCCCAGGAGTGAATGTAGCGTTTCACACGCATTCCCTCATACCATACGCGAGCGCGTGGGCGCAAGAAGACAGGGCCAGCCCACTCTCACCGCTTCACAACGTGCGCGGCAAGAGTAGCGAGCTTATGAGGGAACGCGCCGAGTCGGGGTGCGGGACGGGCAACGACAGATGGGAAAAGGAGAGAAACGCACAATCTCTCACATAACGAATTTAGAGCACGTGAGGGCCTCCCCAAACATATCCTCACACACGTGCCCTACATTGGGCCAGTGTGGCAAACAAAGGTCAGGTGAGCTGACCTGGGAGATCGGGGAGGCGGGATGACAACCCCACCACCCACCACCTCCAGGAAGAATCGAGTTAAAGAAAAAAGAAGAAGATTACGCAGCGAGGCCGAGCCACTCCACCGCAGGATCCGACACAAGCATACGTCGGGGAAGTGGGATTGGATGCCTGCGGCCCTCGCTCGCTCGGGTGGCGGCCAGAGGCGACACTGTTTCGCCCCCACTTCTTCTGAGGGTTCCCCTCGAAAGCTTTGGGGCCCTCACGCGCACTGTACAGCTGGGATATGTAACGCACGCTCCGACAATGATCCGCATCGCATGCATCCGACAACATCTCCAGCTCGGTAGAGCACGTGGCCTCTAGGGGCCGCGGGGGGGGACCGTCCCCCCCGCGGGAAGCACCGTGTTGGGAGGGGCCGCGTTGGCCTTCGTGGAGGCCGCAGCGAGTCTGGGGCGCTTCTCCGAGCCGGCCGAGGGACCCAGGGCGACCGCCGCCTCCCCAACACGGCTCTGAACAGGCTGCTCGAAGTGCATTCCAGGCTTCACCCTTCGTTGCACACGAATGAAGGCTTCTGCCTCCTCGTCCTCAGGCCTCCCAGTGTTGCCCACAATGCTAACACTGGGGTTCGAGTGTGGCAGAGGAGGCGGTGGAGGCGGAGACTCGAGGGGCGGGGAAGGGGGGGGAGGGAGGAGGCCCGCGAAGCTCCTTCCTCCAAGGGCCCTCATCCACCTTGTTCACCAGGGCCGTCTTGGCCTGCCGGGGGCTGTTTGAGGCGCGGGCCAGGCCCTTGGGGAGGGCTCGGCGGGACCTCCTCGGGGCTGGACTGGGGCTACAGGGGCCCGAGGTTCCGAGGGGCGGGGCACTGAGCACACCTTGGGGGCCGCATGCGAACCCTACCCCTACCCCCCACGATTTCTGAGGGGGGGGTGGGGTTCACTTCGCTCGAGAGCTCCCGAACGAAGTGAACCCCACCCTCCCCCTCAGAAATCGTGGGGGGTAGGGGTAGGGTTCGCATGTGGCCCCCTAACACCTCCGAGCACACCCGACGGCGTCCTGGTGCGGTCCGCGCGAAGCGCCGACGGTACACACACGTCCAGCCTCCTGCGAGCCCTGGCGCTGGGCACGTGCAGGCGCTGGCTCGCGGCCAGTGCTGGCTGCCGCCGTGCTGGTCGTGGAGGTGGCCGCTGCCGACCTCGCGGGGTGCCGCGAGGTGTCGGAGCGTCAGAAACGGCTTTGTCGAGGAAGCCAACATCATTGGGTTTACTAGGGTTTTGGCCCCATGTTGACCTCTTGGGGGGAGGTGGCCCAAATGAAAGCTCCCCTGTTGTTTGATCGATCTCCTCCAAGATGGCCCCCAGAAGCGCCCAGGAGGCGTTGGGGGCTGCTGCCTGTCCGAGTTGCCCGCCAATGCCATTGACGATCCAATCCAGCACGCCACCCGTCGCACAATGTTCGGCATGATGGGGTGCAAGTGCGTGACCTCCGCCGTAGGCGCATGCAGCGAATGCATGGCCGGTCCCCGCTTGGCTGCTACATCTGCGTAGTATTTGCCCTTCTTGTCTAAGGTCGCCTCGCTCAGTGTCTGATGTGAGGGGGCGTAGGAGATTTCCAGCTGCGATGCTAGTCCTCCCTGGTCTTGTAGTACATGCCATGGCTGTCTCCATAAGTCACAGTTCGGCCTGCGAGGATGAGTGATTCAACTCACTTCTGGAGACCATCCACTGTGCCCATGCAGCCCGTACGCATGTGCAACGGCAAGGCCCCGTGGCGCAGGACTTGAATAAGCGCGAAGAGCCCCCCGCGAGGATCCGACTGCCACTGTCTCCTCCGATGGTAGTGACACGCAGCGCTGCGCGCGCCTGTTCCGAAAGGTGCTACTTCTTGGCGAGCTCCCTTGGAGCCAGTAGCATTCTGAGCGGTGCCATCCAGTATCCGCAGTGTCTGCGCGCAGCTGGTTCACCTTCTGGCGCGTGATCTTCCTGGCGGCTCCATCCCTCAAGCTTCGCAGTGGCAAAGTCGCGTCGGGCCAAGATTCTGACACATTCACCCCCGCTCACGTTGACCATGTCGTTGCCGTCGTAGGGTGCCAATTGAGCGACTGGAGAGCCACCGGCACTGCACCCGCTGGGCCAGCAATGTTTGCTTGCTTGGGGTTCGGTCCGAGCTTATGACGCTGCTGGAAGAAAGCATTGTCGAGGATGTCGTTGGGCACCTTGGGGTCACGAGCTGCGCCCATGTGTATAGTGGCCCTGCAATGGCCATCAGCTCTGGGTGCTCATGGAAGCGTGGTTCGAGCTGCGCCGCCAGCCAGGTAGAAGTACCAGGGGGGTTCGTCTCCATCCTACGCGCGCCATAGTGACCATTGATTTGGGTAGCGTCTTGGTGGCTCCTACGATCTGGACGCCGCGCTGCATGGCGGGGGCAATGCATGGTTGCGCCACCGCCCTCCCGATATTGGCCAACCCGCAGAGCCTCTTGAATATTGGCAGCCTCATCTTCATTTTGACCACCCTCTTTCGAATTGTATAGAAACTTAACTTGCGCCCGCCGTTGGATTCCATGCCCTGCACCTCCAGTGTCGCGCATGGTCTGAAATCGTGTCGGCGTACTTGTTGTGTGACCTGCTGTGCTATGTGATAATCCGAGGCGGGTGCCTTCGCCTTCTCCTGCTCAATAGGTAGGTCCAATGCTTTGTGGATAGCTGCCAACTGTTGTAGAAAACGTACCGCGTGGTATACAATGTACTGCTGGTTTGCCATCACCTGCACCGTGCTATCCTCAGCGTAGATGTCCAAAGAGTGATGAAACTGCTCGGCGTTCGCGAAAGACTTCTCGAAGATATCAAACGGCAGGACCACAACCATTTGCAGTAGGAACCTCACCATCGGGCACCTTGGCACCAACCCCTCGGCAGACGTGACATGAGTACGAAAACGCTGTCGTCCACTTGATGCGCCTGGGGGCCTAGTACCGTACGTCGGCGAAATGTTGCACCACTTTTGCCGCGCATTGTCAGCTATATTGCATTGCTCCTCCCCCCCCCTCCCCCTGATCTTAATATTGGGCACATGGCAAAGGTCCCTTGGCGCCCCCCCCGGGGCTCGCGACAGAATGTTGCACCACCGAGCCGTTTCGATGAACCCGGGACCGCAGCCAATGTTAAGATTGGGGGGAGGGGGGGGTGGAAGCGAACATCCATTGCAAAATCGGTTTGCTTTCTTGACACCACCAGGTGGTGCAACATTTTGTCGATGTACCGTACATCGCCAGGCAGAGTTGCAAGATCTGGGTCGGGAACCCAAAATGTTCTGTCGCTTGGGGTGCTCTGCGCCAGCAGACTCGGTCAAAGCAGTTGCTGCTGTCCACCAGTGTAGTCGCAGTGGCCTTCACCCTGTTCTGGGCGAGAGATTCTGCATAGATCATGGTACGGGTGCCCACATCCAGACTGCACTTGTGGGCGCCCAGTGCAACATCTGGTCGGGTATTGCGCGATAGCCGCTGCCTGACTTGATCAAGCCGAACCCTAGTGTACAGTCTGTACGCCGCTGGTAAGAGGGCTATAGGTCGAAACCCTCCGTGTGGCTTGGCAAGTAGCATTATGTGTACATTGAGTATAGCCGTCGGCCATCTCATCCATGCTGCTGCCGCCCAGTAGATGAAGATAAGCATCGCCAAAGCTTCAGCTCGTGATGGTAGAGCGTCCGCGCCCAGTCCAGTGCGCCACTTGAATTTTGTAGCAGCCCGTCGTACTTGCTCCAATGTAGGTACTGGTAGCGCCGCTGGAGGCAGGTGGCCGGTGGCCTGCGCAAGCCTTGCATTCTCATGTTCTGCCAGAGGTCGAGGTATTGCAGTGCCGAGCCGTCGCATCCCTTCCCAGATACTGCACCAGAACCTCGACTGGTTTAGGTTCAAATGATTCTGAAGACCTTCGGGACACATGGTGACTAAAATTCCAGATGTGATGTCGTCGTCGAGCTTCTTTTGTGTTCTCTTTTCGTAAGTTCGAAGCTTTTCTTCCCACTGTTCAATACTTGAAAACAGTTCCTGGATTTTGAACTGGCCAGGCTGCACAATCGAGCTCATCAGGGCGCGCTTACGCTGACCAGTGTGCGGGTCGAAGCGACGAGATAACTACCGCCAAGCTTCCAAACCATGGTCCTCCAGGGTGTTTTTGACGATGTCGCACGCTTCGCCGTCCGTCATCTGTGCAAGCGTGGTGTACAACTGGGTTGAGAAAGCAACTGCATCAGGAAACTGGGAACTGAGATTCTCGACCTGCGCACTCGAAATTACATTGTGTTGCTCCTCAGCCCAATCCATCAAAGCACGAGCATTACGGAAAACTGAAGAAACAAAGTTCTTAAACTTGAAGCTGAAATTCGACCATCTCTTCATGTTACTGTCAAAGTTGTTTGGCTTTCCTATTCCTCTGTTATCGACCAATGATTTCGAGCTGCGCGAAGATGATGCTACACTTTCGAATGTCTGTTGCAGGGTGCTTTGCTTTGCATTGCCTGCACTGTCGCCTCATGTTGCTGCTGCATTCTCTGCATGTTTTGGTCATGACTCTGCTGCAGTTGCTGCATGTTCGCGTTTTGAGTTTGCAGTTGCTGCATCAATTGATTGATCTGCTGATCATTCTGCTGCAATCCGTCGATCAACTGTTGAACTTGTTCTTGGGACGCCATTGTAATTGCAGAGCCACGTTCACTCAGTGGATGCTCCTCCTCGGATTCAAATCGGGATCGAAATTCAAATCGAGCCTAACTCACGCTACCATGTAATTTTATTATCTTATTTGATGCCTTTTCTGACATCTGACATGGCTGCGGAATCGCGCACGGTCCTGCCACGATGCACAACTTGGGCATACTTCCCCACACCGGCGACTTCGCGGACCGTGCCCGCTCTGATCCTGCTCCGCAGCAGGAGGGGCAGAACGGAGACAGAACAAACAAAAACACAGAAGCACCAAACAACAACAAAAACAAAACGTGCACCTCTCCCCCGCTCCTCCTGGTCCTCCTCCTCCTCCTCCCCCTCCCCCTCCTCCTCCTCCTCCTCCTCCTCCTCCTCCTCCTCCTCCTCCTCCCCCTCCCCCTCCTCCTCCTCCTCCTCCTCCTCCTCCTCTCCTCCCTCCTCCCCTCCCCCCTCCTCCTTCTCCTCCTGGTCCTCCTCCTCCTCCTCCTCCCCCCCCCCGATGACTCCGCGCCCCGGCGACCCGCTCCGGCCCCGGGAGGCCCCCCGCCTCCGGCCGAGGGAGCGGTGCTCTCCGACGCCCAGAGAGGGGGGGCTTCTTGGAGCGCGGCCCGCCCGAGAGGCTCCTCCTCCGCAGGCGGCGAGAGGCGGCCTCGAGGTCTCGCCTTCGCCCTCTGCCTCCCGCTCGCCCTGGGCCCCTCGCCCTCGGCCTCCCCCTCCTCCTCCTCCTGATCCTTCTCCTCCTCCTCCTCCTCCTCCCCTCCTCCTCCTCCTCCTCCTCCTCCTCCTCCTCCTCCCCCTGCCTCCTCCTCCCCCCTCCTCCTCCTCCTCCCCCTCCCCCTCCATGCTTTTTATCTCCTCCTCCTCCTCCTCCTCCTCCTCCTCCTCCTCCTCCTCCTCCTCCTCCTCCATTCCTCCTCCTCCTCTTCCTCCTCCTCCTGCTCCTCCTCCTCCTCCTCCTGGGGTCCTCCTCCTGGTCCCTCCTCCCTCCTCCTCCTCCTCCCTCCTCCTCCTACTCGACCCCGTACGATCATCTGGCCGCGTGGTCTCGAAGACCTGCTCCAGACGTCGGAGGCTTGGGACGGCGCCTGCCCGGCGCCCAGCTGGACGGTCGTGGCATCCAGAGGGCATCGCGGGGTGCCCCCAAGGCCCAGTCTGCTTCTGCGCGTCGGACTCGTGGCGAGTTTGGAGTTCACCACCGCGTCCCCCCAAACAAAAACAAGTGTGGCAGGGCCTGAAAAAAAACGCCCGGACGCTGCTGCGGCCTCCCCCTTCCGGGAGGAGGGGGGGATGGAGAGGGAGGGCTCATTCTCACACGTGATGAACACAAAAGATGGAGAAGGGGAGTGAGGCTGCAGTGTCTCTCGGTCGGTGTGGCCGTGTCGTGGGCATTCTGGCTCGACGGCGCCCCAGGGGCCATAGGAGCACCCCGTCCCTGCCCCTGGGACCCTGTGGGCGTGCCAGCAACCATGCTCGCACCCCAGAATCCCACGGAGACAGCACTAAGCGCGCGTGTCAGCACTAAGGCGGCCCCAAGGGCGGTATGCAACTGGCTAGTCAACGGAGCGTAGGCCTCAAGGACGAGACGTTATGGTTGTTGTTGCCTACGCGAGGTGAGCGGGCCTCATAGCTGTCACAAGCCCTGCTGTTGTTACCCTGACCTTTAGTGTGGCCCTTCGCGTATGAGTAGGCCTCGTAGTGGCCTCAGGGGTCATGCAAAATGCGCTTGCCCTTGCCCGTGCCTTTGCCCTTCAGTTCCAGGGCCCGCCTGTTGGCGCCCTGGGCGTCGATCCCGGCGGCGCATGACCCCCCCGAGCCGTCGCTTGCCAGATCATAGTGCTCAACCGAATTAGGTCTTGTCCTCCTCGCTGCTTGCCTCCTGCTCCACGTCGCTCTCGTCGTCCTCGTCATCACTCGTCTTCCTCTTGCCGTCGTAGTAAGTCTGCGGCGGGGACGTACTTCGCGTGTCGTTGTGCTCCCGAGAGGCCCCAGGGTCAAGTGCATACATCATTTTATGGGATTTCGGTATTTGTCTGGATGAAGGCCGTCTTCAGCTCGAATATTTCAGATTTGTAACGCGTTTGCGCATGGTTTTTCACAGCGCTTCGTTGTCTGCGTGCAGGTGCGTCCCAGGGGACCCCCAGGGCCCGACACGGTACCCCACATAGAAAGTACATGTAACATGTGAAGCGTTCCAAGAATGGCCTTGCCTTCGAGGATCGAAGGAGTTGTCATCTCTTCCGCCGCGGAAGGCGGCCGAAGGGCGGCGGAAGGTCGGCGGAAGTATAACGAGGCCGCCTCAGCCGGCGGAAGGCGGCGGCGGGAGTAAACATGTACCCCCAAGAGATGAAAACGTTTTCGGGTCCAGAGTTTCCGAAATCGCCCCCCTCTGTCATGTTGGGTCTCTGTCTGGCTGCTGGCCGTCTTCGGCGCGAATCGCTGAGATTTCTAACACGTTCGCGACCGTTTGTCACAGCGGTTCGCTGTCTGCGTGCAGGGAGATTCCAGGGGGGCCCGGAGGCCGACACAGCATTTCAAATCGCAGTACATTTGAGTCGGGCGTGTCCCTCTACAGGAGGGATCTGCAAAGATAGCAAAGAAATAGTCGGGGGACGACTGTGCTACTTTTTGAGACAGTTTTCGTTTCGTTTGCGATGTTGTGTTTTTCGTCCAGAATCCGCCTGTGGGAGGACATGCCCGACCGACCTGACAGTAAATGCGCAGATCAGTTTGTGCTTTTGCTGTTTTTGTGGCCGCAGGTCGTCTTCGGCGCGAATCTCTGTTCAGCACAGCAGGAGAAAAGCATTGATCGTTGTTATCGTTATCGTTGTTATCGTTGTTATCGTTGTTATCGTTGTGATCGTTGTGATCGTTGTGATCGTTGTTATCGTTGTTATCATTGTGATCGTTGTGATCGTTGTGATCGTTGTGATCGTTGTGATCGTTGTTATCGTTGTTATCGTTGTTATCGTTGTTATCGTTCTTATCGTTGAGATTCCTCCCGCGTGTGCGAAAGAGTTTCGCAGCATTTCGGTGTCTGCTCGCAGGAACGCTCTGGGGGGCCCCCGGGGCCCGACGCAGTGCCTCAAATCGCAACTTCGTGCAGCATCTCATCACCACTGGGCACTGGAGGGCTGGCGGCCGGTGGCCGCCGACCCCGAAAGACATCGGCGACGACCAGGAGGGGGAGGAGGGGGAGGAGGAGGAGGAGGAGGAGGAGGAGGAGGAGGAGGAGGAGGAGGACGAGGGGGAGGGGGAGGGGAAGGGGGAGGAGGAGATAAGGAGGAGATCATCACTGGGTATTTGTCTGGTTGCAGGCCGCCTCGGGCGCGACATGCGGAGCCCTTCGTACAGCTGCGGCGGCCCTTGAGATGTGGCAGTGAGCTCACCACCTGCCAAACCACCCCAGCCCAACCCGAAGGCCTCAATTGGCCTTCCATTCATCAACCCGCTGGATTAAAAAGTTGGGACGGCGGGGTTCGAGAGAGAGAGAGAGACGCTGTTGGCCACCCGTTAGGCCATGGGGCCCAGGACAATGTTGGATTTGATGCCGAATTGGGAATTTCAGACGCATACCTCACCCCCTTTAATATTATAAAGGCCAAATGGGGCCGGCGTCTGAAAGTGGCATTCCGCCTAGGACTTCCTCAAAAAAGTTTCAGATCGCCTTCCAGGGCGATCTGAAATTCTCCCATGCCGTCTGAAAGTGGCGATTTCGCTTAGGACATCCTCACAAAAAGTTTCAGATCGATGTTCATGCCGCCTGAGAGTGGTCGTTTCGCTTAAGACGTCCTCAAACAGCACTTTCAGGTTGCCTTCCATGCCGCCAGAAGACAAAGATTTCGTGTGCGATGATTTCCATAACTTTGTGCTGCAGAGCTCCACGCCCAGCGGAGCCGTTCCGTCATTCGGTTCACCGGCCTGCCTTGGAGTCATCTCGGGGTTCATCGATGGTGGAGGCTCGAGGGCAAGTCGACCGGCGAAACCCGCGGGGATCGCTCTCTCGCATAGTGCCGGTCACAACTTTTTAATCCAGAGGGTGGTAGTGGGGGGGGGGGTCGGAGAACACTGAAAAGCACATGTGGAACCCGTACCCCCCCCACCCCGAAATTCGGGTCTTCGGGTTGGGTTGGGGTGAACTGGCAGGCAGTCGTGAACGACCGTGCCCCTCTCCAGCTCGGCGAAGCTGCGGAAACGCCGCGGCCCAGGCAGTGCGCCTGGAGGAAGAGAAAAGACGGCATAAGCAGAAGCCGTCGAGCTCCGCGCGAGCTTCTCGGGTCGGTGTTGGACCCCATTGGCGGTGCCTCCGGGGCCATTCCTGACGCGCTCCACGCGCCAGGTAGGGGGGGTCGAGTGCCGATCCGAGAGATCCGCGCGGAGCTCCAACTGTCTGTGTTTGTGCCGTTGGCTTCCCCGCGCGTGCCAGAGTCGCCACGGCTGGACGCGGTTCGGAAGACGCGGCGTCGGCTTCGACCTCGTGGTCTGGGGGCCAACTTTGACCGGACTGGCTCTTGTCCCAGCAGGTGGGGCTAAAAGTGCACACTCGAGATTGTGGAGCAACCACGTGCTACGACGTCTGAGCCCAGGGCCCAAGGATTGCAAAAAAAACGGAGGATTGCAAACAAAAACCCTCGTTTTTTGCAATCCTTCGTTCAAGGAGGGTTTTTTTTGCATTCCTTCGTTTTTTGCAATCCTTCGTCCCCCCGCGCCGACCCTCGAGGGTCCCGCTCCGGCGGATCTGCGCGCTTCGCTTCGCTTCGCTTCGCCCGGTGTTGGCAAATGTTCTCAGGGCCCGAACCGCGCAGACCACCCCGTCGCTTCCAAACAAGAGCCGTGGTCGAAGGGCCTCGACGTGGCATTCGGCCTGGAAGTCTGGCCTGGCCCAAGAATCACGGCCAGGTCACAACATGCACCTTCCGGGTACACTTAAACTGAGCTTGGGGCGTCTCCCAGCGATCGGCTCTCTCTGGGGACCATGGTGTGCCCAGGCGCCTTGGAGCACAGGCGCTCTGATGCAATATTGGAGAGTTGCACAACATATTGCCTGCATGCTCGAAAACGCATTGACTTGGTTACAACAGTGAACGCATGTAGGGCAGCGCCATCAAAAGAGTAAGCAGGGATCACCCCTAGGACCTGGCATGCACAGGTGCTCCTGCCAGTCGCCGCGAGAGCCCGCCGGCCTGGGGTAACCAATCTGTCCATGTGCGTTTGTCAGTCGCCCGCGAGTGCTCCGATGGACTCTTCCGAATCTCGGGCCGGACGAAAGGGGGGGATTGGCAAAGGGGGGGTTACAAAATGTGTCGCATGCAGCTGGTTTCGGCCCCACCGAGGGGCCCATTCCTCGATACATGGGCGCCTCCGGCGCCGGGAGGCGCCGGGAAAATCAGCTACGTGAGCTGATTCTCCCCCCGCCCATTTGCTATCCCCCCCTTTCGCCCGACCCGAAATTCGTGGCTAGATACGTAATCCCCCTCTCCGTTTAAGAGCTCCTACGTATGATCTTTGTCGTCCCACTCGGCCTACCAGCACCCACCGCCGCCACCACGTCCCTTTTCTTCCCAGTCGAAAAGCACCACAATACCATAAGCGGTTATGCACACTATAGAACGATTCTCGCCCACCGGCACCGGCACCGGCACCGGCACCGGCACTGGCACCGGCACCGGCACCGGCACCGGCACCGGCACCGGCACCGGCACCGGCACTGGCACCGGCACCGGCACCGGCACCGGCACCGGCACCG